TTAAAAAATGGATAAAATTGTATATTCATACTTCTCTCTCTCCTCAATTAAGCTTCCTCTCTCCTCTCGTACTCTTTCCCAAACTCGTCGCTGAGTTTGGAGCTCTTAACCCAAAACTGAAATGATCATTCCTCTCTCAATTATTAGTCTTCCTGGTGGAACCTAAAATCAAAACCAATAAGCTTTATGGATGAGTTTTATCGGTTAGTCTCAAGAAATTGCAAAGAAAAAAAACATTAAAACTCATCCATGAAGGTTACTGGTTTTGAATTTTGGGTTCCACCAGTTAGACAAACAAATGAGAGAAGAGTGATGATTTTGGTTTTGGGTTCAAAACTTCAAACTCAGCGACGAGTTTGGGAAAGAAGTGCGAGGGGAGAGAGAAAGCTTAATTGATGAGAGAAATGAGTGTGGATTTATAATTTTATCCACGTTCTTAACGGAAATGTTAAGAAAGGATCATTCGTGGAAATGAATATAATAATTAGAGACTAAATTAGTACTACGTAATATTTGATATGTATAGACTAAATATGTAAAACGACCTATAACTGGGGATCTTTTATGGAATTACTCTTTTTTTTCTGAAAAAGTAGCAAAACTGAAGTATAACACCTTTAGTCCAATGTCATCGTGACTCTCTCAAATGAGAGGTTACAAATTCGATTCTTAGTGCGGGGAGTAACTCTATAAATTTTAATAGATTGAGAACGTATGAAGAGTTGAAGACATTACTATATTATACTGTAATGACGTTATTAGTGTTTAAAAAAAGAGATAAAGATAAATATAGAAGAAAAAAATAGATCATAAATAATTGGCCGGTTCTTATGACATTGGGAATCAAAGTCATGGGATGAAGGGGGTGGGCGGGGTTTACCGTGATAGTTAGGAGGGTTGGAACCATCAAATTTATCAACGGGGTACCGGAGCACCTCTGGGTCATCCGATGCCTTCTACCGCCACACTGTCACCTTCTGCCACCACACTACCACTGCCACTACACTGCCAACTCCGCCGCCACACGGTAATCGCAACACTGCCAACTCCGATGCCACACTCTCAACTCCTTTGCAACACCACCAACTCCATGCCACACTACCCCCCTTTGCCCCCAAACTGCCAACTCCGTTGCCGCATTGCAAACTCCGCCGCCAAGCTACCACCGCCGGCGCAACGTCACTATGAGCTTCATCATTACACTGCCAACTCCGCTATCACACTGCAAACTCCACCACCACACTACCACACCCCCGATGCCATATTACTGCTATTATCGCACTACCACAATCGTTGTAATTTAATTTTGACCCATTATTTGTAGTCATTTAAACAAAATTAGTTTATACATGAAAACGGAAAAATTTGTTAATTTAATCTAATTTGTTAGAACTAAAACTCTTTTTTTCTTTCTTGTCTTCACCGTTTGAATCCTCATTACCGACCTTGTCTTACTACACTCCAAACTTCAACGAGCTTAACAAATGGAGAAGTGCAAGTCACAAACTAAAGTTGTGCTATTGTAGTCCTAAAGCCTATATATAAAATGTAAATTTTCTTACATATTTTTCATTAACTTATAAATGCATCGCGTTTTTACAAGACCCATTACATATAACTACTTCATGTATTAAAGTCCATAAAATACATATGAACTTAAAGACCACTTAAAAATTTGCCTACATAATTAAATGCTCACAAAAAATTACGAATTTACTATAGAAAAAAAACTAAATTAAGAGTAAAACATGAACAAATACCAAAATAAGATATCTATGTTTTTAGGATAAAAATAAGAATTCCAATGCCATGTAAACATATAGTACAAAAAAACACTACAAAATACCAAGATATAGTGTCAAATTGGCAACGGACAGTAATCCTATTTTGGCGTTAAAAATATGGAACTTCTATTTTAATAATTTCTCTATGTTTTTTTACTAGAAAGGCAAATTTCTTATTTACTATTTGTGGAATTCATTAATATCACAAAATAATTATAGAAAAGAAGAATTATCTTAAATAATCTTACGTTTTTACGTTTTTCAAAAATAATCTCACTTTTCACTGTAATCAGAAATAATCTCACATTTTTGTATGTGTGCGAGTTTTGGATCGCCATTAAAAAACTAACAGCCACTTAATAAAGTTCCTGGAAAATGCTTGCTTTTCACAATTAAATGAAAGACGGGATTATTTTAGGCAAATTTACTTCTTTTTAATTTTAAATTTATGTTCTTAAAAATATAACAGTGCAGTATTGTTAGAGATTTGTCTCAATATTTTTTAAAGAATATAACAATTTATAAATTTTATTTTTTGGTTCTGAGGAAATGTAATATTGGATTATCGAAAAATAATTGAGAGTATCGCTCGAGAAAAAATTGAAATATAAAAAATTGTAGTGAATTATAAAATTAATAAGAGCCATTTTGGAGAAAAAAAATTGTGCCGTTTTCACAACTTTTGAATTATTATTTTGGGAGAAAAATTTGTACCAAATTATCGAAAAAAATCACAAATTAGGTAGTTCCATTTTAGAAAAATAATACAGATAATAGAAGATTGTCAATAAACATTTCGGAGTATTGCTCATAAAAAATTGCAATATAACAAACAATGTAGTGAGTTATAAAAATAAAAGTTTCATTTCAGAAAAACATTATTGTGTTATTTTCACAACTGTTGTAATATTGTTTTGCAAAAAACATTTATAGAGAATTATCGAAAAATATTCACAAGTTTTGTAGTACCATTTTTAAAATAGTATAGTATCAAAAAACAATTCGAAGTACTGCTCATGAAAAATAATTACAACTTACAAAAAATGTAGTGAGTTATGAAATAAATAAGTTAGTTCTATTGTGTAATATAAGTTTTTGTTCAATTATCACCAAATTATCGATTATTGAAAAAGTAATCAGTTTCACTCCAGAAAAACACTTAAATTGGGTATTAATCATTTAAAAAATTTAAAAAATGCATTTTAAATTAAAGTTAGAAATTAAAAAATGAAAAAAAGAATTTACCTAAAATAATCTTACCATTCATTTATTTGTCAAAAACAGACATTTTCTAAAAATTCTGTTAAGTTACCATTAACTTTTTAACAGTGACCCAAAATTGCAAAAAATTAAAATTATTTTTACTGACAGTGAAAACTGAGATTAATTTTGAAAGAGCGCGGAAAGGTGAGATTATTTAAAATAATATTTATTTTTAAATAAATAAAATGAAAAAATTTATATTCACAAATGATAAATTTGTAAATTATGTGAACATTTAATCTGTGACTATTATTTCTCTAACAAATGTGAAATGTCAAACCACAAGTTTTTGAGGTTTTAACAAGGAAAAATTATTTCAAATAGTCATACCTTTTCGTGCTCTTTCAAAAAAAATACTCCCTCCATCTGCCTAAGATGTTCTCATTTTGACTTTTGGTGGTTTTTAAGAAGAGTTGAAAAAAGGTGAAAGTTTACCATAATACCCTTAATGAAAAATGGGTGGAGTGTATTAAATGAGGTGGGTGAGGTGTAATAAATAAAGTAAGTGGGGGTAGTTGTGGTATTTTACTTGTTAAAAAAAGAAATGAGAAGATCTATTGTGGACAAAGAAAAAGGACTATTGGAAAGATCTATGGTGGACAGAGGGAGTATCACTTTTCACTCACACCTAAAAAATCCCACCTTTTCGCATGTGTGCGAGTTTTGGGTCGCACTTAAAAAACTAACAGTTACTTAACGGAATTTTTGAAAATGCCTATTTTTAAAAAATTAATAAAAGGTGGGATTATTTCAGGTAAATTCTCTTTTTTCGTTTTTATAATTAATAACTTTAAATTTAAATGTATTTTTTAATTTTTTTTTGGAAAAATAATACCAACTTTAAGTGTTTTTTAGAGTGAAACTAATTATTTTTTCAATAATCGATAATAATTAAAAAATAAATTATTCTACACAATAGAGCTAATTTATTTACTTCATACACACTACTTTTTTTGTAAGTTGTAATTATTTTTTTGAGCGATATTTCAATATTTTGGTAGTATATTATTATTATTTCTTAAAAAATGGCACTACAAAACTTGTGAATATTTTTTGATAATTCTATATATATTTTTTGAATCAACATTACAATAATTTTGAAAATAACACAACAATTTTTTCTCTGAAATTGAACTTTTATTTTTATAACTCACTACATTTTCTTTTGTATTGCAATTTTTTTAATGAACAACACTCCGAAATATTTATTGATAATCTTCTATTGCCTATATTATTTTTTCTATATGGATTTACCTAATTTTTGGTTTTTTTGATAATTCAGTACAATTTTTTTCTCCAAAATAGTAATTGAAAAGTTGTGGAAATGGTACAATATTTTTTTACTCCGAAACGGCACTAATAAATTTTATAACTCACTAAAAAAATTTTATATTGCAATTCCTTTTTTGATCGATACTCTGAATTATTTTTGATAATTCAATATTATTTTTTCCAGAACAGAAAACAAAATTTGTAAATCGTTAGATAAATGATAAATCTTTAACAAAAGTGTACTTTTATATTTTTCAAAATATTAATTTTAAATTTAAAATTAAAAAAGTAAATTTTCTTAAAATAATCGCACATTTCTTTTATTTGCGAAAAACATGCATTTTCTAAAAATTTCGTTAAGTAGCTGTTTGACTCAAAACTCGCACACATGCGGAAATGTGGTATTATTTCTAGTAACAATGAAAAGTAAAATTATTTTTGAAAAAACGTAAAAAGGTAGAATTATTTGAGATAATTTCTTCTTTTAACAAAAACAAACTTAACAAATTTCGCACTTAAAAAAACTTCAGAAATGTTAAACCACCAGTTCCCGAGGTTTTATTAAAATTCAAAAAAAAAAAAATCGGACTAGTTTAGATGTCAAACAACTGGGTGACGTGGTTCACAGAAAGTTATCTTCCGTTACAGACTGCCCTCGTAACGTATAACCGAACAGTAGTAAGAAGACGTGGACTACTTTGCCACCCCCTTCCGTCAACTTTAAGGCGGGAAATTGCTTCTGCAAATCCACGCACTATTTCAACCGGCCAGAGTCAAAGCGGTTTTCAAATCTGGTAAGCAATGGGGGATCTTTCAGAAACATGCGAGATCAAAGAAACCCACAAGATTTCAGCTGTCATTTTCGATTTGGATGGTACCCTTTTGAACACAGGTAATTTTTTGTTTGAATTTTTTGTGTGTGTGTTTTTTTCCCTTGCACTTTTTAAAGATTCGATTTTTATTTTAATTTTTCTGGTTGGTGAATGTGGGGCTTACAGAGCAGGTGACAAAGGGGGCTTTGGAAGAATATTTGGCTATGTATGGGAAAGTACCCGAGAGGGAGAGGGAAGCTAAGAGATTGGGGATGACTCAGAGAGAGGTGGTCAGTGGCATTATCGAAGATTATGATCTTCCACTTTCGCCCGATCGGTATATTGAAGAAATCTTACCCTTTTATCAGGGAAAGTGAGTTTTTTTCCCTCTCTCTTAAAGATTGTTATTCGATACCTTGCTTGTCTATGGATTCTTAGCTGTGGGTAACTATTCTTGTGAGATCTGTGGTAGTTTCTTAGGAAAAATGACATTTTTTTTGGTTATCCAATTACCGCGATGTAGCCATAATTGGTGCCTCAATTGTAGCAAAAGTGGTACTTTTCATTCGTTGTGTTGTAGACGTGTTATCACTTCGGGCAGCCACGAAATGGTTTTTCGCTTTAACTCAATTTGAAGTGCTAAAAGCCTAAAACAACCATTTCGGTCATAGTTTAAAACTAAGGTTCACATGCGACACAACTCTTTTATTACCACTTCTGGGACAATTTAAGGAGCAGAAATTGATACAACGGTGACATTTATGGTTATCTTGTTAGTGTGACCGCGTGATGTAATGAATTTCTTACCTCCATTATTTGTCTATCACTTGAATTGTCACAAAAATGGTACTTTTCATCCTTTGTATCTTAGCAAGTAAAAGCATTAATTTTTAACAGCCACCAAAGTGGTAATCTGCATATATTATTCCTCAATCAAAGACAGCGTTATGAGAGGATACATATTTTCCTTCAGCATCATTGATAATCCTACCCAAACAAGATTTGGTCTGATGAATAAACAAAAAGCCATCATTGTTACATTTAAGAAAACCCTTGAAGTAGAACATAAAAATTTGAACAACGTGGCATCAAAGTCACAACAATGAGAAAATTGTAATTTTCCTTTTTTTTTGGTATAAAATTATATATTTGGAATTTATTACTCCCTCCATCCCTTTTTATTTGTCATAATCAGTAATTACAAGGTCAAATCATATCATCTTTCCCTTTATATTTTTTTAATCATTTGTTACAATAAAATGGTCCAGCTCACTTTGTTTTATAGAGCTTCTGATGTAGTTTGACAATCAAGTAATACCTTCCTGCTGTAAAAGAGCTTTGATGTCTGCTGGAACATTGTGATCCCCCCTCAAGTCATTGAAGGATTTGAAGCCAACAACTAATCCATTTGGTAGTTTGACACTTAGGGTCTGTTTGGGTGGGAAGGTTTTGGTTAACATAACACGTGACTGTTTAACATTTCAATCATCTTTTATCCATCTTTTTAGAAACATTATATTTTTCAAGATATATACTAAGACTTTCAACCCCCTCCATCCAAATAGACCCTTAGAAATTCAGGTGGCAATTCTTGTGAACCCACAACACTGCTCCCGCTTGTGGAGAGACACACTGTCCTACACAATCATCAGTGACTTGTAGTTCCACAGGGTGATTCTCGTTCTGATCAATGAAAGCCCTGCAGGGCATGGAACCTATTTGTTAAGCATTACCTTTCATCTTATTTTCGAAAAGGCAGCCTGTTCCTCTTTAGTTGCATCTATAATTATTCCTTATTCCGTTTCAAAATCGGCTCTGCGCTTTCCTTTTTTGTTCATCTCAAAATAAACTTTACACTTCTTTTTCCCGATTAGCTCTAAGGGGTTTCATTTTTGTTCGTCTTTCCTTTCAAAGAGTTTCTAATTTGGCAATAATATTTAGGTATCTATGTTTATTTGGCAAGTCTTTGTTTCCTTTCTACATTCCAATTGTAATTCCTTCAAATAGAAAAGGCATTATGTAACCGAAGGAGAAGTTGGAAATGGATAAACAACTTGGACAAGTTTTTTCCTGCGTTTATCTCGGATATATTACCATGGGCTATTTCATATCATTGGTCCCCTTTCCTTTTTTGAAAAAAAACATTCATAAACATATCCACCACACTCCACCTTTCTTTGGGCCTGTTTGGAAAAAGCTTTAGCGTTTATTTGTATCATTATCTAATGATATCTCTTGCTTCGTAATTTTAGTTTATTCTCTAGGTGTTGGGTGCTTTATCTATGTTGTATGTCTGCTCTCCCTGTTCCATGCATATGTTGTGAGCCTTCTTTTTGTGCAGCTTGAGCTGGGGGTCTCTTGGAAACAGCCTCTCTACTTTCGGGTAGGGGCAAGGTCTGCGTACACACAGTAGTCACACACCCTTCCCAGACCCTACTTTCGTGGGATCCAACTGGGTCATTGTTGTTATCTAATGACATTGTTTAGCTTTAGTGTTTTCGAAGTTAATCTGCATCATTAAAAAATTATCCAAAATACTAACGCTAATTGAAAACACTATTTACAATCAAAGCCTTTATCTCATCCCGCGTTTTCTTTCTCTTACCGCACCTTATCCATTTATCATTTAGTTCACTACACCTTTACTTCTCTCATCTCACCCTTTTGCCAGATTAGACAATTTGAGCCTTAGGGTATTGGTCTGATGCTCATCATGAGAGAAGATTCAAATCTGGCTGTAATTGTGCATATGAACTCTAAGCATATTTTCTTATACATGGAGTTATTTCGGTTTTTAGCATTTCTTGGATTTTCAACTGACCTTCCTGTTTGTACATATACTATTTTTCTTCTTAGGTGGAAGTTAACAAAACCACTTCCTGGAGCCACCCGCCTTATGGGACATCTGCATAAGCAAGGAGTTCCATTTGCCCTTGCTTCAAATTCCATTAGGATTAACATTGACAGGAAACTCTCTTACCATGAAGGTTTGTATTTACTTTTTGCATAATACACCGTAAATAGTTTAGCATGCTCTAATGGGATTTCGTATGCCTTGACAATGGAACTTAGGATTAGTTAATGCTACTGCCCAAATAATTAATAAAAATAGGACACTCTTTTCTTTTTGAGTATTTAGCATCATATTCTATTCTTCTATGTCAAGATGTCCCTTTTGTTATTGATGTGATCATTTGTGATTCCTGAAACAGATAACATTTAATCTACCACGAAATGGCATCTAGAGCGTATGCTCTTGATAATTATTCATTTGATCATCTTTTGCTATTTAATTCTTAAACAAAGCATTCTCGTACTTTCACAGGTTGGAAAGAACGCTTTGCAGTGATTCTTGGAAGTGACCAGGTGAAATCAGGCAAACCTGAGCCGGACATGTACGCCTAAATATTTCTAACCCTTGTAGAAAGCTTCTAAGAGTATTTTCGTCTTTGTTCTGCTCAGGAGTCTCTTTCAGTCTTTTTGTAGGGGTATATATATATGATAGTCAATTCATTTAAGTTGTAACTACCATGATCATTATTAGTTTTCTAAAGCTAATTGCCTCGTCAAACCTTCTTTCATAATTCTGCAATTGGCATAGATTTCTTGAAGCTGCAGCCAAGATGAATGTAGATGCAACAGACTGTCTTGTTATAGAGGACTCCGTGTGAGTTTTTTTTAACTTTTTTTCTTGGCATGTTCTTTCCAACTTTTAACTCTTGTTATGCATACTTCATTAGACTTTGGCTTCTAGACTCCAACCTCCAGTCAATTTACCTCTAGATTTTACTCCCTTTGTCCAAGAATTATCTTGTCGGTTTGACTGGCACACATAATAGTGAGATGAGAAAATCATTGGCTTTCCACATTTACCCTTGGATGAATAGTGTTAAATAAAGTGGATAGTGTAGATGAAAAGTGATGATTTGAAAGGTTATCATTAAAAGTGGAAGGACACATTTGACATTTAAAGCAAACTTCTATGCCATAAAAGGAAATGATAAGTAAATTTATTGACGAACCAAAAGGGAAAAGTGAGAAGAAAATTCGTGGACGGAGTGAGTAGATAAAATTAAAACAATATCCGGACTCTAGAATCCAATCTCTAGACTCTAACTTATAATTAAGGCAAAATGAATGAGCCCTAACTTATTTTATGTAACATGATTTTATGAAGTTGTAACTAAAGTTCAAATTCGCAGAGTTGGAGTGAAAGCAGCAAAAGCTGCTGGAATGAAAGTAGTTGCCGTGCCATCAGTGCAACCTGAAATGGATCAGTATTCTATTGCTGATTCAGTGCTTCATTCAATTCTTGAATTGCAGCCTGAAGTTTGGGGTCTTCCCCCATATGGAGATTGTACGTATCACTGCAAAATCCATCTTCTCTGCACAAGCTCCAACATTTCTTGCTAGGAACTGATTTTCTCATTTTCTATGTAATGATTTGCAGGGATAGATAATGTGTTGCAGGTTGAACCCATATTTTTCAAAGGCTTCTACACAAATGGACTCCTTCACGAATTCACAGGTCTATGAGATTATATGGCAACTCTCCTTTTGTTCTTTTTTTTCTTCAGCAAACACAAATTTATGCAGCAACAAAATGTAGTTAAATCCCAATTCTGTTGGGGACTAGTAAGGAATTTTATTGACAAAAGATGTATGCAAATTTTCTTCTGTAAAAAACCGGATGTTGTTTGGATTAGAAGTTGATGCATTGCTGCACTTACTTGCCAAAAGTTCATTGAGAAAAGCAAAAAGGAAGTCTAATGTGCCATTCTGATCAGGTGATATAATGAGTGTTCTGCCCACTCAAGTTTTTGGGAATTTCATTGGATGGGCAAAAATCAACTCAAACAAGTTACTGAAGATTCTTGTGAGAATTGGATGGGAAAATAGCAACTGTTCAAAAAGACACATTGTGAGTTTTGATAAAGACCTTATTATTATACTTTGTGTTTTATACTTTTTATACAGGTTTCGTCTTCGTTCTTGGACAGTAGTTTATGTAAAAATGTGCCTTTTTAGGAAGCATATCTTCCCGAGGACGACGAGAATCTTCATGATAGTGAAATGGAGATTGTTCTTTTGGGATATATCAGAAGATCAAATAACATGGTAATATTTTGTTTTTAGAAAGTCATCATCAATGCAAAAGAAAGAAAAAAAATGCATATTCAACTCAAGTGTATGTTACAATATGCACAGGAAACAACTAATGTTCTTGGGATTTTTGATGAAGACAAATCTGCAGCAAAAGCTGCTTTTCACCGACCAGAATTCTCACTGGATGCTTGCAAATCCTTGTTCAGCAGAATGATGAGTGAATAGAAATGAAGACATTACATTCAAAATGTGTTTGTTTAAACATCTATAACAGTGTAATATATATAGTACCGTATAAAACATGCACTGGTCAAAGAAAAAGTCTTTTAAAACCTTTTTTTTGTACTATTTTAAATACCCGAGTAGTATAGTGTGTGTGAGTGCATGTGTGTTACTTTTGGGATGGGCCAAAAATTAAAGTATACTCTCTTCGTTCCAAATTAAATTACCAAAAAGTCTATTTTAAACCTATTTTTACTACTCATTTGTAAAAATAATATAATTGTCACTTTTTTTAAAAAAACTTTTGATGTAATTTTAAACATGTAAATTTTATATTTTAATTCAACCTTAATTCTCATATAAATTGAATTGAAAATAATTTCAATCCATTATCGTTGACCAAAACAAACAATTTAAATTAAGAGGGAGGAACTATTGCCACGATAAGCATGCATCCGACAATAAATAAATGAACATTCATAAAATCATATTCAGGAGGAGCATTATATAGAAGGATAACAAGCATAACTTAAAAAAAAGACACGAAAAGAGAACAAGCATGTCAACATTCTTTAACAGAATAATGAGCAACCATAAAAATGACAAAAACACCACTGGGTGTACAACATAATTTTAGCAAAATTCACATTGAGATTAAATTCCAAAATAAAAATCATCCCTGGTTCCTCTAGCATGAGAGGGTGATAACCAGTGAAGGATCTCAAAGATAACAGAAAGATTGTCTCCATATTTTTTCTGGAAAATGATTAAGACAGATTATTTGATAAATAATAATAGTACAAGTATTAAGTCTTCTCCTGAATGTTTCCTCACAACTTATTTAAACATATAAAGGAGGCATTGTACAAAAAGAGAAACACCAGAGACTCGAAAACGCTTAGCCAGTGTTTTGCATTCCAGCGGCAATACCTTTCATGGTCAAGATGAGAGTGTCCTCCAAACCAGGGGCATAGTCACTTGTGGGGTTGAGCATCACCAGCTCAGCAGCTGGTTTGCTCGCTTCCGTTATCTCCTTGGACAGATGGGGTCTCACAGTCACATTGTAGCTCGGGTCCCGGATCCGCTTCAGTGTATAAGCTTGACAAGCATTGAGAGTTGTGATGTAAGAATCACGGAGTTTGAGCCGCTGCCTCAGGTAGGGGTCCCCTTCAAGAAGATCCTTGTGCCCAGCAACCTAATCCAGACAGACACCATGAAACAACAAGTTTCATAAAGTTTAAGGTCATGGTCCCATAAATAATACTACGGGTAAATTTATACAAGCCCAACAAGGACATTGGTCTTACCTGAAGGAGGAAGCTTTTGGTTAGTTCATACTTGGCCCTTAACTGTTCTCCAAGTGGCCACAGATCTTTGGAAACCAAAAGCTTATCATACAAAGCAGCAATACCCGGGTCACCCTTTGCAAAGACCATTTCAACCAAGTCAAGTGTGACCCTAAAGAAAGGCCATTCCCTGTACATGTCTCTAAGCATTTGGAGATTTCTGATATCCTTCTCGATAACATGCTTAAAAGCATCCCCAAAGCCAAGCCAAACTGGTAGATGAAACCTTGTCTGTGTCCAAGCAAAGATCCATGGAATTGCTCGTAGAGATTCAATCCCACCACTAGGTTTCCTTTTCGCAGGTCGACTCCCAATGTTCATACGCCCATATTCTAATTCTGGTGTTGCCTGCAATATTTATGTTAAAAATTTAATATGTGAAGCATGTTTTGTTTTGAAAAAAAAAATCGCTTTTGGTCCCATGTTTAAGGGGATTATATCCCCACATTTGGTCATATAGGCTTTCATTTTCCCCATTTGGTGAAAGATGTGTGCCTGTGGAATCCTTTCCAGACACTTTTGGTGAAATCAACCTCAACTTAGACCGGATAAAAGATCGGGATGACTGGAATGACTAAAAGACCAATAGGGAGAGACAAAATAGTTGTGCAACAAAAAGCAAAAAAACAGTATTGACACTTACAAGGCGGAAGTATTCAACAAAGCGTGGATCCTGGAAAACAACAGAACGATACTCTTTAGTGGCAATGACAGACATCTCATCAAGAAGAGCACGCCATTCTGGCTTAGGGGCAACAGGGGGATGCATTCCATGCTCAAGTGTTGCCGCAGTGAACCTCTGAAGTGTTCTGAAACACAAGTGCTCTTCCCCAAAGGACTGTTCAATGACTTCACCTTGAACCGTCACACGTAGTGAGCCATGTATTGTATCTGGTGGCTGTGAAAGAATAGCAAGATGAGTGGGACCACCTCCCCTTCCAACGGTGCCTCCTCTTCCATGGAACATGGTGAGTTTAACCCCAAATTCTTTTGCCACCTTCACAAGCTCCTCTTGAGTCTTGTACAGCTGCCATGCCGCAGAGAGCCGACCTGCATCCTTGCCCGAATCCGAATACCCAATCATAACTTCTTGCTTGCCATTGATCCGGTTCACGTACCAGTCTATGGAGAACAAACGGGCCACAGCTGCGGGTGCTGCCTCCAGATCAGCAAGTTTTTCGAAAAGTGGGACCACTCTAAGTGGAGTCTTGACATGGCACTCACGTTGTAGTAGTTCTACCGCAAGCACATCAGATGGAGCCGTTGCCATTGAGATGATATAGGCGCCAAAATTGTCAGGCGGGAGCTCAGAAAGAACATTAAAGGTGTCCAACACGTCAGCAATTTCTTCGGTTTTAGGAAGGTCGGGACCAAAAAGAGGGCGCTTCCCACTGAGTTCGGATAAAAGCCACTCCTGCCTACGTTCTTCAGTCCACTCTTTGTAGGACCCTATCCCTAGGTGCATTGTGATGGCATCTAGAACATCTGTGTGTCTGTCAGATTCTTGACGGATATCAAGTCTCACGAGTGACAGACCAAAGGTGGAAACTTGCCTCAGGAAATCAAGAAGGCTTCCATCAGCAATAGCGCGGTCACCACAAGCACATAGTGATCTATAGCACAACTCAAGAGGCTCCAGAAACTGCAAAATCCAAAACAGCAAACATATTAATTACTATTTAGTCTGCTGTATATAAATACATGAAACTCTATTTCTATCTTTCCATTTTACCCATCATCAGTGAAAAAAAACAAGAAATTCAGCTTTCATATCATGCAAATTGACCAGACAACGACCCCATACTCCTACATGGTTAAGAAGAAAGAGAACAGTGTTCATGGTTCAAATATAAAGGAGACACAATCCTAAACGCAAAAGGTTTTACCCAGAAACAAGTGTTATATTTGGATCCGAGATAATGCAAAAGGGGGGAAAACGATAAGGAAAATTACGCTCTTATGTTTGGTTTTAATTGAAAACTGCAAAGGAAACTAAAATACTACGGAGCATGGTTTTAAATTCAATTTTAAATATATAAATATAATAGGTTCACCGTCCGTCCCTCAAAAAACTTCCCAATTGCTATTCACAAGGACAAACTTTATCATCTTCATTTGCTTTTATTGTTACTTATTTGATAACATAATATGTACTCATACTAGTTCTTAGTTTGGAGAACTTTTAATGTATTTTTTAAATATGTAAATTGTACTATTTAATCATACAACAATTATTAAATAAATTGAATGAAAATCAATTCAGTCAAACATCTTAAACCATCATTATGATATGCTATGTTTTGAGGGACAGAGGGAGTAAGATAAGTAAATAATTAAATGCAGAGCGAATAAATAAAATGGTATCAACAAATGAATCTCTAGAGCAAATAAAAAATTATAGCATTTTTGGCAATCTTTTATTTTCCCTCGTATATTATTTCCACCCAAGTTCCAACTTTCTTCAACATTATCCTCCTGTTATCCTTCCCTAGTACTCATTTTCCGGGATCAAAACAACACTAAAGATCCTACAGTGCAATTCAAAATTGATAATCTATCTTAAAGTTGAATAATGATTCTTGAATAACAAGCTATGCAAAAACCAGGAACGGAGTGCTTTCAATAATAAAAACAATAAGGAAATATGTTGTTAAGCAACACGAAGGAGAAACCTGTTCAACACTAGTGAAGGCAGTCTCTTCAGGAATATCAGAGATCCCATTTGCCAGTAACTGACGAGCACGCTCTCGAGTACCATACAACTTGTCTCTAACATCAGCAAGAATAACTCGATAAGGCTCATTTGGTGGAATTTGCTTCCAAAACTCTGCATCAATAACAAGAATGGGTTTCAAAAACTACAAAATACAAACATCAAAAGGATGAATCTTCAACTAGAATATCAAAAGCTAAAAAAACATTTTTAGAAGAAAGATGTATACCAATATAATGTTTGACGTCTCTTTTTGAGGTCCTGTGCAATTCATCTGCACGAGCACGCAACTCTTCACTGCAGCGCCACATGGAAAGCTATGACAACAAACATAAAGAGGAAAAGATGATTATGTAGGGCTATGGAAATCTGAAAATGCATGGGCTATTGGATGATCTAAAACATACCTCAAACATAAGATCCTCAATTTGAGAAAAGTACAAATTAGCAGCCATCATTCTTGCCAACAAGCATACATCCCTTGTAACCTCAGGAGTCACTCTAGGGTTGCCTGTCAAACCAATGAAGAATTCAGACTTTACTTTTAAGGAAATATATTCATTTTAAACTGCAATCCAAAAACAAGTTAACAAGGAGTACTTAGACCACAAAGTCAAACAGTTCAATGATTGAAGTAGTACCGTCACGATCCCCTCCCATCCAAGAAGAAAATTGAATAAGAGGAGCATTGTAGGGAACACGCTCATTTATTCCAATATTCTTTAAAGCTGTGTCAACTCGGCGTAAGAACTTTGGAACTCCTTTCCATATTGTCTCATGAAAGTAACTCATTCCAGCCCTCATCTCATCTTGTGGAGTTGGAGGAGTCCGCCTGATTTCATCTGTGCGAAATGCAGCTTGTATCTGTTTTATACATATAATGATGAAAGAGTGAGGTCAAAACAAAAAATAATAAACTTGTAGACATGCACAAATGCCTGATCTCAGCAGTTACTAAAGCCAAAATTTCATTCTTTTCTAGAACTGAATAAAAGCATGCCAAAGCTTATAACCTAAAAGTTGTGTTTTTGGTATGAATTTTAAAAGAACTAAACTATTGAAATGCAAGATGGCTTATATTGCATATTATACTTCATATTTAAAAACTGATTTAAATCAAATATATTGAAATAAAACTTGCTGCTGGGAGTTGCAAGTATATACCAAATAAACATGAGAAAGCTTCTTGGACCTTTAACATATATACCTAGAATTCTATAAAAGGACAAGGCATTCAACATAGAACATCAAAAATCCAATCCCATACCTCTCTCTGCAAAGCCTCATCAAGCTCATGCTTATCATCAGGAGTAATATCTTTGGCATACAGTTGTGTCAAACAATTTCGGATCCTGCAAAAAAACATGGATGACATTGTTTAGACATTTTTCTTCATGGAAGAAAAGTTAATAAGGAACATCAATAATAGGTCAAAAATCAATTATTTAGAAAACTTAAGCAACTGGTAACAGGGAAGGATTATTTGGCTGAAATGGCTGATCCACTCAATTTTCTAAAAGGATGCACTTATGGGTTGAGTGAAGTGTTCAAACCTTCCATGCTTTTGAAGCAAAGATCTGCGAACCGACTGAGTAGGGTGTGCGGTTAGGACTAGATCTACGGTCTGGTTCTTCAGAGCATCAAAGACTTCTTGAGGGGACTTGTTCAGTTGTCCTACAAGCCTCCTGAGAGTTTCTTCAATATCTGATTCAGTAGCTGCAGAAGCCTCATCAGACAAGTCGTGTTTTTTCAACTTTATCCTCCGCCTGTAGGCTATCTGAACCTCCTCAGCAAGATTGGCCAAGTTAAGCATGTTGGAAAAGGCTTTGGTCACCACTATAGAATCTCCAGCATCCAAACTAGTTATCACTCTCCCAAGCTCTTCCAACTTCTGAGTATTATGCTTCCCTTCATACTCTGCGGAGAGCTCGTAACACTCTTGAACCTAACATACATTATCATGACAAACGAAACAAAAGTTGACTTTGCTTTCATAAGTATCAACTATACAGAGAATACATATTGAAGAAAAGAAGACATATTTATTAGCTGATCGATTAACTCTTTTTAGTGTGGTCTGAACCAGGAATATTAAATCGCAATTCAATTAACTAAAAACATTGCAAGCAGATTGAAAACAAAGAATTATATGAAAATAATGAATCTACACAAGCAAATATACATCAATTCTTTGAAGAAACTCCATTGACGGGTAATGCAGATGCTAAATTCAAAAATTTAAAATCAATTTAAAATCTATGGAAAAAAACATCATTCTAATCGCGAATTAAAATTCTCATAAAAGGTTCCAGCAAAAAGAAGCGATCTTTATACGTACCGTCTCACGAATGTCTTCTCCGTGCAAATCCTGCAGAATGTCGAGAAACCGATCGAGCAAAAGCGCATCGTACTCCACGAGCTTGTCATCCTCGGAGACCTTTGCCGGGGCGAGCAACCTCAGCTGCGCATCAATCGACGCCATCTTCTCCAGATTCCTACTCATCGTTCCTGTCGATGGCAAGATTTATACACGATTTCTTCTTCCACGCCCGTGAGGCAATTAAACGAACACCAAAAGTGCCAAAAAAATGGGTACACGAGAATCCAACCAACTGATCTGTTCTACAGCTTTCTTCTTTTTTTGTCCCAACCTAGAATCACGCGAAAAGGGGAGAAAAGAAAAACTGGGTTTTCACCAGAAAAAAGGAGTGATGAAACGTGAGAAGAAGATAATAAATAAGCAGAGTTACAGATCACGGGAAGGAAGAGTTTGAATGTGGATGAGATTGGGACTGGATGAAGATTTTATATATATATACTACAAAGCGGAGTACTGATAGGATTGGAAATTTGGCATCTCTCCCACTCAGTCTCCGGCGCTGCTTTTGCACTTCGATCCTTTTCACCGGCTAATCTTTCCTCTTTTTTTCCTCTCTTTATGTGTGGGCCCTACAAGTAATTGCTCCTACTATAATGTCTACGGAGTACTCCGTATGAGAGAGAAAAAGTCAAAACTCTTTTTTAAAGGTATTTTCAGAATAATCCTAGAATATTCCCTTTTCTAAAAGCACATTTTACTGTTGCATTTAGCTTGTATCGATACTTACCGCCTTACCGGATATTTCAGTTCAATATAAAATTTTGCATTTAGCTTGTATCGATACTTACCGCCTTACCGGATATTTCAGTTCAATATAAAATTTTACATCCTATCGATCTCGGTCTTAAAATATTAGTTTGAGATGTCTCCATTTCGGTACAAGTCAGAATAAATACATATGTATCAAGTTTACACTTTAATAAAATGTATTAAAACTCTTTTTTAAAAAAATAAAAGGACATTAAATAAAGACTCATAAAAAGCAGGAAAATGTATTTTAAAAATTCAATAAATGCGTGCAAAATATAGTTTATATTTCACAGACTAAAAAACAAATGATAACTAATTAGTATTTCAAATGTATGTTAGTACCTTTATATTCATCTACATAAAACTAAAACTCGAATAGAAGTACTCCGTATGATTTATACATAATAAAACGTGAACCAACCTTTCAAAATAAATTAATTAATTAATGAATAAATATAAAAATCTTATTTTCTAAAAAATAATAATAATATATCTGTTTGGTTCGAGATATTCGAGATGTTCAGTACAGCTCGGTTCTTTTGCATTATTTTCTCAGTTCGAATATTTTTGAGAAATTTCAGGATCACTTCGTTACTTGGGCTCCGTTCCATTCAACTTATTGTTTCTGATCTGATTTGATTTTTGTAATTCTGATTTGATCTGATCTGATTGGATTTGACCTGATCTGATGGATCTGATCTGGTCTAATCTGATTGGATCTGATCTCATCTGATTGGATGTGATCTGGTGTGATCTGATCTTATGATTTGATTTATAATTCAAATCAATAATTTGATTTGACTTTATAATAACTTTTGAAAATTGTAATGATAATTCATATTATAATATAATCAATATTTTTTATTTTATGATTATTTTTTAATGAAATAAAATTAGTTAATTCATATATTAGAATAATCATTCATATTATGATGTAATAATATTTTTTATTTTATGATTATTTTTTATGAAATAAGAATATTGATTTAATATTTTAATAATTAGTTCTTATATACATTAGAATAAATATTTAATTTATATATGCATTAAAAAGTAAATAAATTTAGATAATCAATTTAATGAAGAGTTAGTATTGTTATTAAAATATCTCATCCTTATAAAATATTAGCGTGTGCTTTGTAATATGAAACTTTTTTATGATTAATATAATACCATAAATATAATAGTTATTTCAGTTACACTAAAATATACTTCGTATATGAATATCAAAATTTAATTTTATTTAAGTCATGATCAAAGTTGATCAACTCGATGTAGTAAAAGATCAAAATTTTAGAAACTCAAATTACAGGTAGCACTAAAAATGTATTTTAAAAATAGAATAAGATTGACATTGTCAATGTATTTTAAAAATAATTTTTCCGACGTCTAGTAGTTAAGGATTACTTTCTCAATTTTCTATTTAACTTGTTTGTAAAGTTTATTTTTTTTTCATTTTTAAGAATAATAATAATAACAACAATAATATTTTAGATTGGATCTGACCTGATTTGATCTGGTCTGATCTGATCTGATCTGATCTGATTGGATCTGATCTGATCTGATTGGATATGATCTAATTTGATTTGATTTGATATGAACTGATTAGATCTGATCTAATCTGAGTTAGCCTGATCTAATATGATCTGATCTGATTTTAATAAGAATAAGAAAAAAGCTGAAAAAATAAGTTGAACGGAACGGGGCCTTACTCATCCTTACCTTTTAATAATTTTACGAAAACAGGACCGGGCGTCAACTCACGCAAGCGAGTGGACGAAGGTTAATTGGTTGAACGAGTCAGCTCGGTAAATGACGTGGTTATCTATATTTAAAATAAGAATATATTATACTATATTAAGAGAGATATTTTAATTAATAAAAGTTTTAATATTTTTTCTTGTTCTCTTTTCCATCTAATTTTTTGTGTCATTGTTCAGATATTCTTTCATGCTTTCAATTTTTTATTACAACTAGTTGGTATTTCATGATTTGTATATAAATTATTTATTATGATTGTAATATAATAAAATAAATAATGTTTATTTTTACTTTGAATTATTTTAAAAGTTTATAAAATAAGTGGAGTAGACAAACATGTTCTTCTTTACATATATTAATAAGTTATTTTTTTATTCACGCAACTATAGATATGATTTCGCATGACTTTTATAACAAGATGTTTAAAGGTGATTAGATTCTTGAAGTCTTATATGCCAAAGTCTTGGGTACAATTCATTTGGGTCCAATTTCTAGTGTATGTGTAGACTTTGACTTTTTTATAGCCAAAATGACAAAAATTTGATTTTGATCATCGACTAAAGAGAAGAGAGAAAGAGCAAAATATGATTAAAGTGTCCAGAAAGAACTATCCCCAGAATAGAATTTTTTTAAAAAAAAAAACCTAAAATGGAACCTATAATGCTAATAATGCAAGTAAAAGGACTAAAACATAATGACTTTCCCAATGTAGGACTTAAACTTTTTATTCCCTAAATAGGACTTAATAATGACCTAGTGGGAAGAATAATGTCTAGTAATGGTGGACATTTACTTGAATAATGACTACTTGTTAATGACCAAAAGTCCTACATTGGGAAATAAAAACATATGATCATATATTGGGAAAGTCATTATGTTTTAGTCCTATTAAGGTAAATTTCTCATAATGCAAACATTTACCAAAAATACTATGGAATGCCAATATACAATGTCACATAGTCAAATTACAATAATTTTGTTTTGGTAATAAGAACATGTCACTCTTATTTTGTAGAGAAATGAATTGTACCACTCTTAGAGAGGATTTTAGTTTGTAAGAGAGAAATTAAATACTCCCTGTCCCTGAATATTTGTCTACTTTTGACGTTTTTCGGTCAAAATTGATAAATTTTGACCTCAAATTAAATAAAAATGATATTGTTAGCCTTGGTTTGCTAAGCCTCCTGTTTTGATGTTAACAAACAATATAAGAGCTAAACGTTTTGTTTTAGTGTTTCAAGTACAATACGAATCCATTAAGATTTAGTTCTCAAGAATGAAGTCAAAACACTAAACTATCGTAGAATATAAGTAGAAACCAATGTAAGAATATGATTTTATATACCTATATTCACAAGCTCAAGTGCACTCACAAAACATGTTTAAAACCATCATATAAACATTTTTTTCAAACATCTAAGGGGGCGTTTGGTTCGTGCTCAGGAAAGGGAAAGGAAACATGAAAGGGAATCAGAGGGGAAGGGAATGATTACCCCTGAATTACCCTGTCTGTTTGGTTCTGTACAAGAAAGAAAATTAGAGCGGGAGTGGAGGAATTGGAGCGGGAGGGGAAGGAAAGAATCTTTCGTAGATCCACTCAAGACCTCTTATGATCATTATAAGTTATTGTCAAAGAATATACCTTTCTTGGCGAGCAAGTAACGATATGTGTAGGTTGGAGGATTGGTCCAAGAGCTAGCCACCTTCTTCCATTGCGTCCACCTTTGAACACCATTTTGGGGATAGGCTTCGCAACACCTTTCTCACAAGCTCCCGGTCGGTGTATGTCTTCCCGAGAAGATTGAGAAGGTTGATAATGTTAGAGAACCTCTCAAACATGTCCTCAATCTTCTCGTTTTATTTCATGGAGAAGAGCTCCTACTCATGGGTAAGTTGGTCGATTTTGGTCTCCCGAACCTGCGCGGTTCCTTCGTAGGTGACCTCCAACTTTTCCCACATTTGCTTTGCGGTTTCACACCACGAGATTTTGCGGTAGTCATCCGCATTAACACCGCAATAAATCATGTCTATTTCCTTTGCATTGAGTTCCATCTTTTTGCAATCCTCATCGGTGAACTCCTCTTCGGTTTTCGAGACGTCGACCTCACCGACTTTCTTCATTGGGACTCCACGCCCATTCTTGACAATTAACCACAATTTGTAATCATTGCATTAGATGAAAATTCTCATCCTTTCCTTCCAATAGGAATAGTTTGTTTCATCGAACAACGGTGGCCTTGTGGTTGATTGTCCCTGGCTAACTCCTGCGTTGAACATTCTAGATGCCATTTATCTTGTAGTTCCTTAAAACTAAGAAGTATTCGAAGAACTTCCTGCTCCGATATCAACTGTTAGACAAAAATGCAACTCTTAAGGGGGAGTGAATGGAGTTGTTTGCTAAAAAGTGTGTCTATAGTGTGTGTGATAATAAAAGAAAGTCGCAAGAAAAATGTAAAGAGGAAGGGAAAGGAGTACACCGTGATTTATACTGGTTCACCACCTCGTGGCTAGTCCAGTCCTCCGAGAGACTCTCTCAAAGGTCCTACTAATCTTCAAGCTTCAACGGGTGCTTGAAAAACCGATACAACTTGAGAACTTGAATCACACAAGCCTCAACTTCTTACAACAAGGCTTGAGTTACACAAGTCTTAACAACAACCAACAAGACTTGAATCACACAAGTCTTAGCAACAACTCAAACAAGATTGAGTTTACAACACAAGAATGAAAGCTCACACAATTGAGCAAGAAGTGTTCAAATATGAAAGCTCCATGGATGACAATATCTTTAGCACTCAATAAAAAATATTTCTAACTCTAAAAATTAATATATTTGATGAGGGAGATGGAAGCAAGAGTTGAATATCGAGTAATGAAGGTCTGGAGTGCAAGAGATGTGTGGTTTGATGAAGGAGGATGAGGGATTTTATAGGGTTGAAAGGAATAAATCCGTTAGAGATAGGGATGAGGTGATTTTGGCA